GAGCCCAGTGGACTACTACTCCAGCCAGGAGGCCGGGAGCCGCTTCAAGGTGGGTCCCCGGGGGTCCGGGTGGGGCGCAGGGTCCCACAGGGGGACCCGCCGCGTCACCCCGCTGCTCTCTCCTAGGTGGCCCTACCGTACAAGCCCTACTTCTACATCGCCACCCAGAAGGTGAGGAGGGGACCCTGGGGGGGCCGAGGTCCCCAGGGAAGGGGACAGCAGGTCCCTGGGGAGCTCGAGACCTCCCGGGCATCCTGCTTTGGGACGGTCTTCTCCCAAGGCACAGAAGCACGCTGCTCAGCCCCGGGGTCTCCCGGCAGGGCTGCGAGCGAGAAGTGTCCTCCTTCCTTTCCAAGAAGTTCCAAGGGAAGATTGCAAAGCTGGAAACTGTCCCCAAAGAAGACTTGGACCTGGTCTGTATTCCTCTGCCCTCTGTGCTCTTGAGTAGCGGGTTTTTTTTTGGACCTTGCACAGCTCTAGTGAAATAGGAAGGGACTAGTGAGTAGTGAAGGGAAACAGTGCGCTTGACTTCAGTCTCCTAGTGCTGTTTGTGGTGTCTATCAGAAACAGGTTAGTTATGACTACTTGCTTATCGGTAGAGATTACATTCCTCTCCTTGAGCACATCAGCTGTGTCACAGCGCGTTCGAGATGTTTAATTGCAGGAATTAAAGTATGATTGGAGGAGGAGAGGGTACTGGGGGAGGGGGATGCTGCTCATGCTTGACCTGCTCTTCCTCCTCTTCTCTGGGTGAATCCTGCTTGTGGTCCTGCCTGCATGGGCAGCAGGGCTGGCTGAGCCCTTGCTGTGCAGCTCGTGTGCTCTTCCCTGACGTGCCCACCAGAGACTCTTCTTGGTGCTTGACTCTCCCACCCATTGGCACCTCTTTTTTGGCCAATTCTTTCACATGCGTCAGTCTAGTCTGCCTTCCCCACCCTCTCTTATGGTGGCCGTCCCTCAGTACACATCCCCCTGAGCTGGCATTGTCTTGCTGCTTTGCAGCCAAACCACTTGGTGGGCCTCAAGAGGAACTACATCAAACTGTCCTTCAACACAGTGGATGACTTGGTGAAGGTGCGGAAGGAGATCTCTCCTGCTGTGAGGAAAAATAGAGAGCGAGACCAGGCGAGCGATGTCTACACGGCCATGCTATCGAGGTGGGAGCTCTCCTTAGGGTGGCTGGTCGGTCCCTCATGTTAATAATTAAGCTCCCTTGATTATTTCTTAGCTGTTCTCAGAGAAGTGTTGTCCTGCCTGGGGTCTGACCCCAGCTATGCTCCTCTGCCACCCATCTTCCAAGGTGCTTCTTTCAGCTCAGTGCTGCACATCAAGAGGCTCCAGAGCCTCTGGCATATGATGTGCTGTGGTCCTACCTCAACAAATATTTTCTATCTGAATAAAAAGCCAGGCACTTGTTTACAAGATTGGAAACACAGCTGCAGACAGAAAAAAAAATAAGAAACTTTGTTTTTAAAGTCAACCAAAATATACACATGAAAAATTTGCCCCCCTCTTTGGTTTCCTGGCCCTGAAGTCTGATTTCAGCTGAAACTCGAGGAAGAAGAATCAAGTGAGTCGAGCACTCCCTGCTCGCCTGGAAGGCATACTGTCCCTGTTCAAAGCGTTTCCCAGGTTGCCTCATTACGCTTAGTCTCGTTACCATACTTATAAATCCAATGCCATAAGAACTGTTCATTATACAGGCAAGTGTGGGTTTTGCCTGCCTGTACCTCTGAGCAGACACAGCTCACAAACGTGAGAAAAGTTGAATTTAGATGGGAGTGATGGGGCTGCGTGTGCTGTCTGTCCCGGGGATGGCTCTGCGAGCAGAGGTGATTGCATGGTGGGGAAGCATTTCCCGTTCTCTCCTCTCCTGTCACTGACTCCTGCTGCTGGGTGTCACCGGTGCCGCGTGGCTGTCCCTCGCAGCCGAGCCTGTGGAGACGTGCACTCAGGTAAAGTGGCTGCTTCACTCTGCTTCTTGCAGTGCTCTGAGCGGAGGCAGCCTGAGCACGGATGAGGAAGGAGCCTCCAGAAAGATTGCCAACCAGATGGACAACATTGTGGATATGCGGGAGTACGATGTACCCTACCACATTCGCCTCTCTATTGACCTGAAGATCCATGTGGTGAGTAAGGAATAGGGAAGCTGGAAGAGCTTCGCTTTCCTGCTGCTGTACTCCTAAAGTGCAGGCAGGGCGGATATGTTTTCTCTCCAGGACCTTTGCAAAGCTGTCAGTGGCAATGAGTTCATGTGTAAAGCTTAGTCCTGTGCTGCTGGGCCTTCTCCTTAGCTAATGATGTGCAGAAAAGTTAGATGATTGATGCACAGCCACAGCTTGAACCTTTCTTCTGGGCTGCATTTAATTTGCACAGCTGTGTCCCCAGCAGCCAAACAGAAGTGGTGCAAAGAGCTGGCCCTGCAGTAAAGCACTGCCCACCCTCCTCTCTCAACAGGCTCACTGGTACAACGTGCGATACCGGGGCAGCACCTACCCCCCTGAAATCACCCGCCGAGACGACCTCGTGGAGCGACCGGTGAGCATTGGTCAGGCAGGCGTCAGCCTGTCCAGGTGCATGGCTGGTGAGTGATGCTCTGCTGGTGTCACACCATGGTGCGCAGGGGGAAGGCTGTTTCTGGGTTTGGATAGTGATTTTTGGGTTGATAAAGCTGTAAAATGATTACTGAGGAGGATCTGGTTCACTTGCTGGGCTAGCACTGGGCTTAATGGGAACCGTTCTTTAACTTCAAGTCA